AAGAAAGAGGTGCAAAGACTAACGGGGAGAATTGCAGCTTTGGGAAGATTTATTTCCAAATCATCAGAAAAATGTTTTAAATTCTTTTCAGCTCTTAAAAAGCAAGATCAGTTCGAATGGACTGAGGATTGTCAACAAGCACTCAAAAACTTGAAGACATACCTTTCAAATCCGCTGTTGCTCGCAAAACCAAAGGTTGGGGAAAGATTGCTCATCTATCTGGCTGTATCAGAAGTAGCGGTGAGTGTTGTTTTAGTTCGTGAAGACCAAGGTAAGCAATATCCAATTTATTATGTTAGCAAATCATTATTAGATGCGGAGACGCGGTATCCTTAATTAGAAAAGCTTGCACTTGCACTAATCATGGCATCTAGAAAATTAAGGCCTTATTTTCAATGTCACCCTATCTCTGTAGTAACTTCTTATCCATTGCGCAATATATTACACAAGCATGACTTATCATGTAGGCTAGCCAAATGGGCTATAGGATTAAGTGAATATGACATCACATACCAGCCCAGAACCGCAATAAAATCACAAGTGTTAGCTGATTTTTTAGCTGATTTTAGTCAAGGGATGCGACTAGAAGCGGAAAAAGAACTACAAGTGTTCAATGGATCTAATTTAGGAACCTGGATTTTATTTACTGACGGCTCATCAAATGTGAAAGGAGCAGGTTTAGGAATTATTTTGGTACCACCTACGGGTGAAATCATTCGACAAGCCATAAAATGTCATCCTGTAACTAACAATGAGGCAATATATGAAGCCATGATTACAGGTTTAGAACTGGCACGTGAACTTGGCATAGAACAAATTATAATCAAAAGCGATTCGCAACTCGTAGTCAACCAGATGCTGGGGACCTATACAGCCAGGGAAGTAAGGATGCAGCAGTACCTGGAAAAGGCACGAGATCTGGTTAGGCAATTCCAAAGCTGGAAGGTTTTGCAGGTCCCATGGGAGGAGAATGTTGAGGCAGATGCCTTAGCCAATCTTGCATCTGCAGCAGAAGTAACAAATGAGGAAAACGCTTCTGTCATACATTTATTTCATTCGGTACTCGATTAGGACAAAAATGAGTAAAATTTCAATAACCTAACTTGGGACTGGAGAAACGAGATTGTTGCTTTTTTGCAGTATGGAACCGTACCTAAAGTGTCACGCCCCGAATTCGAGGGACATGACTGGCGCCCGACCGGGTAGCCCCAGCCAAGCGAACCTAGATGCCTTTCCTAACCCACATGTTACCCCATGTTTTCCTTACTCAATTATTCCAAGAATTTGCCAAATGATTAATTAAGAACACTTTTAATTTACAAAACACATACATACTTACATAATAGTAATGAAATCACCAACTCGTTACCAATGTATGAAAACACGGATCTACACAAGTTTCTAACCCATATCTACTGTCTACGGAGCCTCTAAAAGTACAACAGGATAATATAGTATTTGCCGGTAACAAGGCTCCAGCTATACCTTACACAAAATCAAAATAAAACTCCGAAAACAAGCGGCCTGAGCCACGCAGGGCCCCGAGAGGAAAGGGGCTCACCAAAAAGCTGATGGAGGACGAAAGGGAGCTACGATCGGTGGACTGGAGTACCTGCTACGGATCCACCTACAATCATAACACGAATGTAGCGCCCCCGGCAAAAGGGACGTCAGTACATTTGAATTGTACTGGTATGTATGAACAAACTTTGCTCCAAGTAAACTCGAACCATAAGCAAGTAAGTAACAGTAATAAAAGCGACAATCAAATCCACAAGGAGGGAACAATTAAGCCAACAGGTATACAATCTCTCCTCCATAAACAAGCATGTAATTGTAATGGAAACAACAATCAAATCCACAAAGAAAGAGCAATCAAACCAACAAGTTTACAATCTCTCCTGTTTCCCCTTCCACATTTCCACATCAATAATTTCACAATTTGTTCATAGTTCATTTCAATAGCGATTTCGATCGCTTTCCAACCTTATTACCTCGGCCACCCTTATCACCATAACCCACACCTTATTTCTTCGTGTTGCGGTGCGCAACCCGATCCCACCGAACAATCACAATTCACAAACAACACAACAACAACAATAATTCACAAAGAACAACAACAACAATCCTCAAGAAACAACAACAACAATTTACAAAGAACAACAACAACAATTTACATGAACTTCCATAGCCATCAATACCATTTCCATGTATTCCACTACTCATATGCATTGATAGGTCACGACAATAATTTCCCACGACAAACCACATATGTTACTACCACGGTTATTCCGAGCACATCAATTCCCATTTTCTTCCATTACTTGTTTCACAGTTCTTACCACATAGCACATTCACAATCGCAAACTTGGTTTATTTCTGATTAATTGCATCAATATAGCGAAGGCACAACCACAATCACTCAACCATACCAATCACAGGAATTTCACAAACAAATCACGTAGAAATCACATACCAAGCACTCNCTAGATTTTCCAAATTTTGGATTGCCAAATACCTATTTTACCCTCTAAATTATAATATTTATCTTCTTTTATTTTTTAAAAACTTTTTAATATTATGATTTTCCCTTTTTAGTTTATATTATCGACTTACTTATAGAATAAATAAATATTATTTATAAAGTAAAAAAAATATATAAACATATATAATGCTGGAATAACAAAATAATGAGCATAGTAAAAAAAATTAGTTAGAATAATTTGTTAGTAATAATAATTTTAGGTTATTAACGACAAAAATTCAAAAGTTTATTTACACAATTAAGAATGAAAGAAAATAAAGGTTGTAATATATATATTCCATGCACGTAANATATATATATATATATATATATATATATATATATATATATATATATATATATATATATATATATTCTATACACGTAATATAAAAAATAATTATTTAAATAAAGGTATTTTTATGATATACATTATATATTCTTGAAAAACATGCTCAATTATATTATTATGTTTCTACTAACTTTCCCAGGACACAAAGTTATGTCACCGGAAAGCGGGGGGACTATCTGTACAGGGTAAAATATGCTATGTTAAGTCGTGCATGGAATATATATAATATAATTGAGCATAATTTTCAAGAATATATAATGTATATTATAAAAATACCTTTATTTAAATAATTATTTTTTATATGACATGCATGGAAAAGATATTTTACAACATTTATTTTCTTTCATTCTGAATTGTGTGATTAAATTTTTGAATTTTTGTTGTCAATACTAAAAAGATAAAAAATAAATAAAAAGAAGATAAATGTTTATAATTTAGAGGGTAAAATAGGTATATGACAATCCAAAATTTGAAAAATTTAGTTGAGTGACCTTCTGAGTGCAATATGCATAGTTGAGTGACTTTGTTATTACAAACGAAAGAAAAATGACTTTAGAAGATAATTCGGGACAGTTGAGTGACAATTTGAGTAATTGACTCTTAGTTTAATTAATAAATATGTGTATTATATCCTGTTCCGTTTTGAAAGGTCAGGTTGACCATTTTTCAAGTGAAGTTGCACAATGTACGTAATGTATAAAATGAATGTTAAAGAACATACCACACTGAGAACAAGCAGTTGAACAGACTAATAACATATGGTATGCCTGAAAAAATTTCAGTCGATCTCTTTCTAATCACCCTCTGAAAGGTAATCCTATACCATCATCAGAAATTAGTAAATAAATTATCAAAAAGCACCAAAATCAGTAACGGGAAAAAGAGCGTGAGAGAAAAAAAAAAAAACCACAAACACAGACAGTAAAAGTGGAAATTCAAGCTTACATAGGCGCCAAGAGGAGTAACAAACTATTTAAAATTCCTGCCCCAAGAAGAAAGGATATATAAATTAAAAACCTCATGATAACTATCATGGACAACATCCAAGAAATTAAACAAAGAAAAATACAAGAAAATGAAAGTCCTACCTAAAATGCCAAAGGCGGTGTGGAGAGCATGGATTACTCCCATGGCAGAGAAGCTTAATTTCCTCTCGAGCACAAAAGGTGGAAACAACCTAAAACCAGAAGCAAAAGGTGCAGCCAATCTTGATTACATGAGATATATATAGAAAATAACTTTCTTTTGCAGCAGTGACGTTAGCGTCACAATACAAAAGCAGATGGTCGTGACCACACGTGTAATCAACATTTAAACTTTATGGGTTTTAAATTTAATTTTATAGATATTTAATAAATTTTTTAATACAATACAAAGTTTAGACTAATGCTACTATGTTTGATTGAACCCGTAACTTATCTTCCCCACCCCTCACCTAGTGAACATATTCTTCTTTGAGCGAACCATAACTATTTTGATATATACCTGACTCAAATGCGACAAGCATGCTAAATATTTTTCAGAAATAGTTTATTTATTTAAGTGTATAAATTCATTTAGTAGTATTGCGTCTAGAATTATTCTTTAGCTCCTTTTAAGCCCTTTAGTAATGTTGTTAGGCAAGAATTGGGGATTAATTGATGACCTCCGTATTATTAAATAACAATGGCAAAAGAATAACATTAACTCTATTTATCTTTCAGCTCAATGTTCCCTCCTTTTTCCTTCTGTTTTTTTTTTCTTTTCGTTTTGGCTCTTTTATTATCATTCAAAACCAGAATACTTATTCCACTCCCCCCCTTGCCCCGCCATGTTGGAAACATTAAGATTTAAAAGAGAAAAGAAATCTTGAAGGGTATATATAAGACTGAGTGGAAATTATAAACGAGAGGATATATAGAAGTGGCAGTGGAAAAGAGAGGACATAAATATATGGCATCTCTTTTGCTTTTTCAGCATATATAATATACTAACTGTTCTTACTTGAAATGGATACGTTTTAACAGGCATCTTAATGTGACCGCTTTACTCATCATTAAGAAAAAGATTATTAAAAAAAATTAAATACTTCTGCTTTTGAATGAAATTTAAGCTGATCTTTTGACAAATTTTAGTGGAAGAAAAGCTGAAAATAAATTCTTGCTTAGTTTACCTCCAGATTATCGTTCTCTTTTGAAAAATAAAAAGGAAGTTAGATGATCAATCGAACATGTTGAAGGGGGAAAAAAACATAGAGTACACAAAAGATTAAAAAAAATGTCAACTTGTGTTTCGTGCGATATTATATCGTTTTACTGCCAGTTTCATCCGGTCTCTGGTAACTTGGCTTTTTATTTCATGGTACATGTGTTGGAGTTTCTAATTAGTTAAAATTAAAAAAATGCATGACATTGGAAGAAAAAAAAAATTCAGAACTCCAAAGTTCAGGAGCTCAAGGCCTACATTAACTTCTTATTTAACGGAACTTGTAATATCCAATGCCTTATCCTTATTCCACATTCTCTCATTTTCAATTCCAAAAATACTCTGCCATAACCACTCTCTTTGATTCCCACTATATGCCACCATTGAGCAACGAACCTCAGCATAAAATGGTGCAACTTTTCAGGAGATTAAACTAATATTGGAGTTATTCTTTTATTTGTCCTCTTTGAAATCTAGAGTTTGTTGACTTGAAAGGTGATTTCTAAGCTTAATATCTATTTGTATTAAGGAAGCATCCAGGTTTTTTTTTTTTGGTTTCAAAAAATATGAAGCATTCAGATTGATAGCGAAGTACTAAAAGTAAATTTCAAGTTGATGTATTTAGATGTAAAAAAGATTGCCAAGTTGACTTTTGGTTCAACTTTATTTGGTTTTGGTCATGTGACCGGAGGTTTAATTATTATGGATTTGGATTATGATTCATTTAATAATAATGCTTATTTTTCTACGTTTGTTTCTTTACATAAATATGATAGTGATGTAAACATATGGCATGCTAGACTTGGTCATATTGGCCAACAAAGAGTGGAAAGGTTAGCAAAACAAGGATTGCTTTCCAACATTGAACATGTGGAATTGTCCACTTGTGAAAATTGTCTAGCTGGAAAATCTGCAAGAAAACCTTTTGGTCAGGCGACTAAAGCCGAATATCCTTTGCAATTAGTCCATTCGGACATCTGTGGGCCTATGAATGTTAGGGCTAGGCATGGAGCAAGTTATTTCATCACATTTATTGATGACTTTACCCGTTTCAGTTATGTCTATTTATTTTCTCATAAATCAGAAGCAATAAGTTGCTTCAAACGCTATATGAGCTTAGTGGAAAATCAATTAGACAAGAAGATAAAAGCTCTTCGAACTGACCGTGGTCGTGAACACTTATCAACCCAGTTTAATGGGTTATGTGATGAAAAGGAAACAGTTCATCAGTTGACTATCCCAAGTACTCCACAACAAAATGGTGTTGCATAGAGAAGAAACAGAACGCTCCTAGAAATGGTTAGGTCAATGATGGCACAAGCTAACTGTTGGCCCAAGTAGAGGTTACTTTCGAAGACTGACAAAGGAGCTCGGGCATGAACCAAGACCATCCCTTGTGTGCATAGAAACGGGCAGATTCGAGCATGTGGGATTCACGTAAAGGAGATAAGCTTAAATTGGTGTATTTGATATCTCCTGATCGAAAAGGTTGCATAATTGATAAGGAGAAGGACTCCTTAATAAAATAGAACACTATTCAAGATAGGGAAGGAGTTAGAAGTTGAAATCAACTAGAACTCTTCCACCAAAGAAGAGTAGCATCAAAATTCTAGTCAATCTCTATTTACTAACTCTATAAATACCAGTGTTATTCTCTTTTACAGGTGTTGCACAAACCCAGAAGTTAAACGTGAATTGAGAGCAAAATAGCAAGACAATTTTGCAAGCAGTTCGTGTGTGATTCAAGTGTGTAAACCTGAAGCTACTTGAACCAGATAGAAGAACCAGTTCCAAGTGCCTGTCTTTTATTCTAGTTCAATTGTAGTAGGTGTTTTCATATTGTACCTTTCAACTTTATCTAGAGGCAATTGTATTAGGTACTCAGAGATTTCAAGTTAGAGTTAACTTGAAGTTGTCGCAACAGTTGAGGCTGTGTGCTACAACAGGATTAGAGTTAGTCCTAGGTTTACAAAAGAGTTTTTGTAAATGCAGTTTTTGGCTCAGTGATTTTAGTGGAGAGTTTGGGAAAATCCTACTGGAAAGTAGGTCGTGGTTTTTTCAGCGTTTGAGCCGGGTGTTTTCCACGTAAAAATACTTATGTTCTTTACTTTCTGCATTTATTATTCCGCAATAGTAGTATAAGGAACATATAGAAGAACCAGGTCCTTCCATAATCAGTTTAAGCAAAAAATTGGACACCACATAAATCACCCCCCCCCCCCTTCTTTGTGTGATATTGAAGTATAAAACATCAATTGGTATCAGAGTAGGTTATCCTTGAAGAGGCTAACACCTTAGGAACAGATCAAGATGAGTGCACCACCTGAAAACTGGGGAGGACAATCCACTGCTAGGCCTCCACTCTTTAATGGCCAGTACTACTCCTGGTGGAAAAACAAGATGAGAGATCACATCATCGGAGAGGATTATGAACTATGGGACGTTATTACTGATGGTCCCCTAGCTACCACGAAGAAGAATGCTGAAGGAGTAGATGTGCCAAATACTAGAGTTGACTGCAATGCTGAGGACTTGAGGAAGTGGGAAAAGAATGCTAAGGCAAAGAAATGGCTTGTGTGTGGACTTGGTCCAGACGATACAGCAGAATTCAAAGTTGTACTACTACTAAGGAAATTTAGGACACTTTGCAAGTGGCTCATGAAGGAACTTCTCAAGTGAAGAGATCAAGAGGAACACTGCTATATTCTCAATATGAAAATTTTACCATGAAGGAAGGAGAAACCATCTAAGAGAAGTATACAAGGTTCACAACACAAACAAATGAACTTAAGTCTCTTGGAAGGATTATCCTTGAAGAAGACAAAGTTGAGAAAATTCTGACAAGGGTCTTGCCAGTCACTTGGGAAAGCAAGATCACTGCTATTCAGGAATCAAAGAACATTTCCACTCTCAAGTTGGACGAACTAATTGGAAATCTCACTGCCTATGAACTTAGAAGGCAAACCATGAAGATGGATGCACCCAAGAAGGAAAGGAGCCTGGCTCTCAGAATCGCTGAAGGTGCTGATCGAGAGGAGGATGAAATGGCTATGATCACAAAGGATTTCAAGAAGTATCTAATGAGAGGAAAGGGTTCTTCAAGAGGTGAAAGCTACAACAAACCAAGGATTCCTGAAAAACATACCAACGGGGCTGGTACAAATGTGGTAAGACTGATCACATCATCAAAAACTGTCCTCAGTTGGAAATTGAATGGAAGAAGGAAAGGGTTGAACGAAGAAATAGAAAGAAGGAATAGGTTCATCCCAAGAAGAGCAAAGGATCAACAAAAGCTATGGTTGTTGCCTGGGGAGAAAGCTCAGATCAGGATTCAGGAGATGAAGATGGAGATGAACAAGCACTTATGGCCATCGGAGAATATGATGAGGAATCAGAGGTAAAGGTGATTCATCTCAAAGACAATATTAAGTTTTTGTCTAAAGAAAGTCTATCTGAGTTACTGCTAGATTTCATTGATGAATCTGAGGTCATAAACAATGAAAAGGAACAATTGTCTAAGGAATGTGTAATCTTGAAAGCTAAGTGTAAAAATCTGGAACTCAGGGCTAGTGAAAGTGATAGTAAAAATACTGAGTTGAAGAACCAGGTTCTTGAACTTGAACCACTGTGCTAGAGCTTAGATTTGAAAATTTAAAACTAAAATTAGGAACAGGTAAAAAGAAAGGTGATCACGCACATCTCACCTTAGAAGAAAATCTAGGGAAAATGAAGGATGAGTTCTACAAAAGAGATGAGCAGATAAGAGTCCTAAAAGAAGATCTAAGCAAGGTTAAGCATGAACTAGACAGAATTTGTAAATGGAATGAGTCCTCTGATGCACTTTCATGGCTACAAGAACACCATAGTAGCAATAAGAGAGGACTTGGCTACGCGACCCCTGCACCTAAGTGGGATCCCAAAAGCAAGTACATCACACTTCCTGAGAACAAAATTTGCACACACTGTGGTAAGACTGGTCACTACAAAAGTGAGTGTACTGCAAAAGAA